CTTCCTTCCTTCCTTCCTTCCTTCCTTCCTTCCTTCCTTCCTTCCTTCCTTCCTTCCTTCCTTCCTTCCTTTCTTTCTTTCTTTCTTTCTTTCTTTCTTTCTTTCTTTCTTTCCTCGGCACTCCTTCCAAAAGAAGGAAGCCTAGATAGATTTCTTCATGGCAGGTCTGGAAGGAAAGGAGGTTTTGGTTTGGCATGGATTGGGTGCTCTGAATTCCTTGAGAATCTAGGCCTCATTCCTCACTAGCCTAACACCCCTTTTGTTCACCCTCCGAAAAACAGTAGAAATAATCGTCCAGATGGATTCCAAACCATTGTCCTTTGTCTGACCCCGTTCCTGCCTCATCTAAGTATAGGCTGTTTCTGCTGAACTGGCGGTCCTGCCTCTTCATCTTCTTTCTAATTCTACGTTATGCCATTTTTTTAAAAGAAGTAGCACTTCAGTTGATGACTGGGAAAGTTTCTGCTTGGTTCCTCTTTAATGAAAAGAAGGACTACGGGTGACATGATAATGATGTCCCAATAGCCAAGGGGCTGCCACAAAGAAGAGGAGTCAGTTTATTTTCCAAAGGACCTCAGGGAAGTGCAAGAAGCAATGGATGGAGGCTAATCAAGGAGAGAAGCAACTTCGAACTAAGCAGAAATGTCCTGACAGTGACAACAATTAACCAGTGGAACGAATTGCCTTCAGAAGTTGTGGGTGTTCGTTCCATCACTGGAGGTTTTCAAGAAGAGATTAGACAACCATTTGTCTGAAATGGTCTAGGGTCTCCGGCCAGAGAGGGCATTGGACCAGAAGACTTCCAACGTCCCTTCCACCTCTGTGATTCTGATATACAATGGATTCTTTGCCAATTATACAGACAAATTCTGACAGTGTTGCCTTCAGAAGTTGTGGGTGTTCGTTCCATCACTGGATGTTTTCAAGAAGAGATTAGACAACCATTTGTCTTGAATTGTATAGAATCTCCTGCTGGATCAGGCGGTTGGTTTCCATTAGAAGACCTCCAAGGTCGTTGTCTTCTTCCAAGTCCGTTATTCTGTTATTCCGAATGGGGGGGGGGCTTGTTGGCACTGCATGCAGAAGTCACACGGTTGAACCTTCCTGCAAGAATGGGGAATCACAGAAGGTTGAACTAGAGCTGTGGTGGCGAACCTGTGTCACTCATGCCACAAGTGGCAAGCAGAGCCATTTGTGCCAGCACGCAAGCTGCAGGCAAACTTACCTCACTGCGCATGTGCGTGCCTCACAGTTGATTTGGGGTGGGTTTGAGGCCTTTTTCGGTCTCCCAAAGGCTTGAGGAAGACTTCTGCAGGCTTTGCACCCCAAAAACTAGCCCCATTTTGTCACTTCCTGTTTTTCCAAAAATACCAAAAGTGATGAAATGGGGCTAGTTTTCGGCCTGCAAAGCCTGCAGAAGCCTGCAGAAGCCTTCCTCAAGCTTTTGGGAGGCCGAAAAGGGCCTCAAGCCCGCCCAAAATCAGCTGTGAGGTGCAGTGCAGGTAAGGCGGGGGCGGGGTGGGGGGGATTATGTGTGCATGCGTAGGGGGCATAGGGGGTGTACATTGCCTTCTGGGTGCTGGCACACGAGTGCGAGCGTGCAAACACGCACACAATTTTTGGCACAGGAGCCCCAAAAGGTTAGCCACCACTGAACTAGAGGATGCGGGCTAGATAAAGATTGATGGGATGGACCTGGTTCCATGAGATAGCCCTTGCTTTACACAGAGAAGGTCTCAGGTTCAGTGCTCACATTTTGGGGTACAATCGGAAGCCTCTTCACTTCAAGAAGACAGGAGATATCTCATTACATAGATACAGATTAACAGGGTTGGAAGGGACCCTGTAGGTCTTCTAGTCCAGCGGTCGCCAACCGGTGGGCTGCAGCCCACTGGTGGGCCGTGAGAAAATTTTGGTGGGCCACAGAGAAATCTCACCCCCAGAGCACCCCCCCAAAGCAATTAATCCAGGCTGTGCAGAAACACAAGACTGCGCCACCCACGTGGCCCGTGGGAACCCTCCCCACCCACCCACTCCTTACCCGATAAACTTGCCTGCTAAATTTCTATTTTTCCTTTTTCCGACCATCATCTGTTCTGTCGTGCCAGGAGAATTAGATTATCTAGGAAACAGGAAATGGTTGGATTT